GTTCCGATTTCGAAACGGCCCGTTCTGGCCCAATTATTATGTGTAAATTTCGTACCCTGGAACGGCCCGTTCTGTAAACGGAACGGCCCGTTCCAGAGTAGAAAGTAACACAAATTTTCCTTTTCCAAAACGGCCCGTTCCATATTTGCCTTGTTTGGAATGGCCCGTTCTAGTATTGGAACGACCCGTTCCACCCAAAATATTTAGTTGATTTCAGTTACGTTGGAACGGCCCGTTCTTATATTGGAACGGCCCGTTTCGAATTTGGAACGGCCCGTTCTGAGTTTTGGAACGGCCCGTTTCGATTTTGGAATGGCCCGTTCCGGGCTACTAAAACCACCTTATTTGGCCTCTAGGCCTTCTGATGTCTGATCTTGTTGTTTGCCTACTTCGGAAGCCCCTTCCCTTCGTAATGGAGGTCCATTTCTTTGTTTGTGTTCCCCCCAGATGAAATTGGGTGTCTACAGATCCATATTGATGCAATACGGCCAGATGAAGAAGACTGGCGCCTACTAAAAGAAAGGGGAGTAAATGATGAAGACTAGATGGTAAAAATTTTCCTTACCTTATATATGATTATATAATTAATTGTACATAAGCTAGCACATGATCATTTTTGGCTAATTTTCTAACTAGTATATATGTGCATGCAAGGTGGTGATTCAAATATTGTAGGAGCAGCAAAAGAAGGGGCAGTGAAAGCAAGAGAGGTGGTGGAGAATGTGGGAGAGAAGGCTAAGGAAATATTAGAGACAACTTTGGATGCAGCAAAGAAGAGTGAAGAATTGGTGAGAGATTCTTGAACAACCATAATGGCTGAGGCTGGTACCAATGCTCATCTATATATCCTATGGTTTTTCCTCTTTTTGTCACTTTAATCTGTTATGGATGCAGCAAAATTTACTACAGAATTCATAGAAGAAAATTGTTAAAGCTCACAACTACATGAATAAAACCTCAAATTTCTCATTCACAAAACTGAAGCAATTATTTCTTCTTGCCCTTGATTTAAGTTATTGGGATTCAATCGCTGAGCTAGGAACACATTATCTACCTTAACGCCAGACTACCAATAATAAGATAAGAACTCAACTTATTTTTTCCATTGCTTGGAGAACCAATGGCTTCACCATTTTCCTTATCATCTTAATTATTTTTACTTTTATCAATCGAAACTTAATCAAACTTATAATAAACTTCTTTCACATCCAAATATCAAGGAATAAAAGAAAGCAAATAGTTGACAAAAGAAACAATACAATTAATTAAAATTCCATTAATAAATTCTACATATAATCAACTTTCGAAAGTTACAAGTGTTTTAAATTCAAGCAGAGGAATGCAGAGGAATTCAACTATGAGGTTGGCACTGATGGTAAAGTTACATGACAACATTCTAGTTGTAATCTACAGAGAAAGAATCGAGATAAAATTCTATAAAATACCTATTGACAAACTGGTGAACGTTCGAATACGAGGTGCTTCTTTGACATTTGTTAGCAAACTCAGTACTAATAAACAAATCCTACATTAGAATCAAGAAGAAAAAGAGTACGAGATAAAATTCGAAAGTAAAGCGCAATGAAGTAGAGGACTTGGGATTATATGAACCAAAAACCTAGATTAGAAGAAACAAATAAGCTGTAGGATATATGCAAATTCATGATGAAGAAACCTGTGAACGGAGACATGATTCGAGACTTAGAAAGGAGACATATTCAGAACCAGAACGGACACGAGCGAGGAATGGGTGCGGAGTAATTCAGAACGGAGACCTATGAAGAAAACTGGGTTCTGTGGCTTTTGGGGTTGGGTTGGGCGACTCTGATGATTAGCCCAGGTCCATTACTTCTTTTATTTTGTACACTTCCTTTGTATTTTTTTATTTATTTTCTTTTTGTCGTAAATACTTCTTTCTAGAAATTAGGTTTTTGAATTAAATTTTAACATTCTAAAAACTATTTCAGAATTACATTTGGGTTGCGATTAGGGGTGATCAAAATTTTCCTACCCTACAAAAAATGGTGAAAGAAATACATTTCGGGTTGGTATTATTTATGGGGTATCGGAAATAAAGGATACGTTGCAAGATGGCTAATTTCGTGTGGGTGTAGTGCAGGTCGAAATAAAGTACCCTGTCGAAATAAATCCTAATTATTTAATTCTAATTTTTAATTATATATTTTGTATTGATATTGATGTTCTATGAAATTAATTAGTCTTATATATAATTATTTATTTGTTTTACATGGATTTTTATTTATATTAAATAACTGTAGGTATAAATTTTGTAAATTTTTTACCTACCTAAAATAGTAGTAGGCATAAGTGTTTGAAGGCTTTTACCTACATTGACAATTTGTTGGTAGAAGAACTTTAAGTTGTATTGAGTTTTGCCTACAACAAACAAAAGTGGGTATATATTTTTGAGTTATACCTATATTAAACATTTGAAGGTAATTTTTTTTTTAGTTTTACCTACACTAATTCAGGTCTATAGGTAAAAGTGTCTGTAGGCACAGGTTATTTTTTTGTAGTGGATTGAAATGTTGGTAATTCCCTTGAGTGTTGGTGCTGGCATGTTAACCGTTTATGGTTTAGGTAGCATGTGAGTTTTATTTTCTAAGTATTTTGTGCTAAATATGTGAGTTTTTTGGTTTAGGATTGTAGTGGGAAGCTTGAATATGAAGTTGAGGTGTGAGTTTGGAAGGGTTGAGGTATTTTTGTGGCCTTAGATATATTGATACACTATTGCTGTTTGGTGTAGAGGATATTTTCGCTGCATTTTTGTTGTGCCCGTATGAGTACCATATTGACAGATTCAGATTTTATGATCTTCACAAAAGTTGTAACCTTGGACGTTATCTTTCCAATGGAACTAGAATCAGGTAAAACGGAGATCTAGAACTCCAGTTATAGCTACTTTGGTTATCAAAGGTCTAGCTGTAAGCGCTGAATATATCTGCTGCGGTTTTTGAAATTTTTAGCTAAGAAGATGATCTTTTTAGAATCTTATGTCTACATAGGAGTTGTAGCTTATTCTCTTATCTTTCTTTTGAGATAGGCTTGAGATCATTTGGATGAGTATAACTCTCTAGGTATCATTTTCTTTGATCGTTGTTGAAGGGATATGTATGGTGTCATGATATTTTTGAATCGTTAGGCAATGCAAGGATAAAAATTGATTTTTGTCATGATTCTGAGATGTCATGTGGTTTGAGAGGTTGTTTAAGGTTGTATGATGGTAAAGTTGGTTCATGTACATGCTATATGGAGTAAATGGTGATTGATTCGTACATGCTTAGGAATTATATATATCGATTGTTTGAAGAAGGTATTCTAATATGATTTGATATGCATGTATGTTGATATGAGGATAGGTGACCTTATGGATCAATTAGCGGGCGTTTAGTAAAGTTAACCTCAAGGTGTGATATCATCAAATTAGAGTTGAGAGTGAGGATTTATCCTAGACAGTTTTAGGCTAAATTACCTAAGTATGATTTTTGATTGTATAAGACGAGTTTTCTAGGTCTTGTAATTTATAGTGGAGGTATAGCGTAGATCTATCTAAGGTAGAATTTGTATTTAAGTGGGAGATACCAAAGTTAGTTAGTGAGGTTAAGATTTTTCTTAGGTT